TTTTAACAAGATATGTACGATCGACCTACGTTTCGCTCACTATAATTACCCTAGATTATATTCAAAACGTAAGTGTTGGGGTCAAAAATCCGCGCTGCAACTAATGGCGCTCTCGCGGATATTCCAATCAATTTTTACCTTAGCTTCAAATACTAAGTAAGCCAGAGTACTTTGTCTGGTATTCTTTCAATACTTTCTTAGCTCTAGATTGGGGTGTTGAACTGATGACCTTTGGAGGAATAGCGCCTCTTGACCGCCTCCCAAAAATGGTTTTCAACCAAGCGTAAAGGGATCAGCAGCATGTTTCTGCTCCTGATTTGTTCGATCTTGTCTTAGACTGTTGCATTGATCTATGTCAAGAATTTATGTGTCGATCTTTATGATATTTGCATTTACTGCTTTTTTCCTTTTTCTACGAAAGTCCTTTTCGGGTGATGTAGCACTCGTCTAGTCATGTGAACGGAAAACTTCGTCATTGAGTAATCGTATTTATACCTGTGATTTTATGCTGTGAACAATCATGTGAAAAGAAAGTACGTAGTAACTTCCTTCCATGCAATTATTCACCTCTATGCAAACATCTTGCTTTATCTCAGCTTCTGAGTGTTCATCTTCTTTTAGGAAAGCTTCTGAATGCTCTCTTAGAAAATTCGTGTTCAAATGGCAGAAAGATATGATTGCGGAAGCAATGGATAGCAGCCATTTGCTTCTTTGAGGGCACTCGTTCTTTCTGGTGCGATAGAAGCCGATCACAGAAATTCATCTGCTTTGTTGAAGTAGGGCAAAGAAATTATAAGTAACTGTTACAAGGAGTTTTTCACGTAAATCTGTTACCACACCCCAAAGAAACAGAACTCAATGCCCACTCGGTCAAATTCAGATCTTACAATTAGAAGCGAAATCGCTGGCAAAAGTCATCAGGAAGACGTGTTTTGGAAAAGCGCAAGACTCTGCCCACCTCTGCTCCATTTTTTATCGTTCGGAACCAAGTTTGGGAAGGAACATCGCTTTTTTGACGCCACATTTCGCGGAACGAAGATTTTTGAGAAATTCTGATAGCATTCGATGCAGCATTTCATCCTCTTTTCAAATATAAGTTCATTGCAGCACAATCGATGAGCTTCAAATTACCGGAATATGCGACCCATGGTTTTCGCAATGGTCAAGTTTTGCTAGTTTTCTAAACTCTTAACTGATTCCCAAAGGCCCAGATAATGTGTGGGTAAAGCAAACCTACAGGAAAATCAATCTCTTTTATAGTCGAATAGCTCGTCAAGCTGCAATGGATTCATAGCCAATAGAAAGACGAGGAAATGCATCTAATGCTAACAAACTCTCTTGGAAAAATTTGTTCCAGGAAATGCGGAGTTTATTCAAAAAAAGCGTTTATTTGAGAAAAGCAACATTACTTGCGGAACTAATGGTAAAGAATAAATAACGTTGCTTTAAGATGGAAATCAGAATACGAAAGCATGCAAATTAAAAATAAGTCAAGATTCTTTACAAGTTCTGCTTTCACCGCATGTATTTACGTGGAAACGCTTCTAAGACAAATTCCAACGTAAATGTAGCATACAGCATTTTATTTATTGAAAGCTTATTGGATATCTAGCCTAATAAGGGAAAATTTGTTTGTTCAAATTGCTCACTAGAATCAATATAGGTTGCTACGTGGATTATACGCAAAGTATCGTTGATTCGTTGACCGCACGGACAGCAAATCACTGCGGAGCACGCGTCGCGTGATAAAATGCTTGCCCCAGTACAAATCC